GTCCCAGGATTGACATCTTAATTTCACACTCCTGAATTTCCCATAAATACTGGTCACAAGTCAACATTCTTCCTCAGTGTCTTGGACCAGCAGAGCTAAACCAGTGGCTGGCTACCCCTAATGCAGGACACCCAGAATTTAAGCCTACATAGAAATTTCCAACTTGCACTCCGACCCAGTTCCATACTCCTGTTTATTGTGTGCATTTGAATATAAGGTAAAGGTGTTTATTTTTCAATTTTTTAATCTGGAGGGGGGGGAGGTCACATGTAAGTCTTTTCACAACCTCTCATACCATAGGGCACTTTCTCAAGGATTTTATTTTAAAACTAATGTATTGTTTGGGGAAGACACATTAATGTGAAATGACCCCGATCCATGTTGTGGATAGCTATCCATGAGAAAGAGGCCAATTCTCAAAACTTTTTTATTATCTCACAGTTGTCAGTGCTGCAAGTTGTCATAAATAAGCATTTCGAGATGATTATGTTGCGAAGAGCACAATGTATACTTAAAGATGACTTAAATATTTTGAAAATTGTGGACTTTCTAATGACAGAATTAAAAAAGATTCAAATAGGGCTGTTTCTCGAGCCACCTAGTCTGAAGTGAAGAAGAAACTGTATTAAAGTGGCTTAGGGATCCGAGAGCTGAATGGAAAGAGTTTGACTATAATTATTTCATGACATGCGAATGAACTAACCACTATTTCTAAGTAGTTCACAAATTATGTGACTTTAAATATGTTTGTGTAGCTAATTTACTAAATGAAATATAAAGAGGCATGGAACGACTACATCTGTATTGCTAAATATTTTCATGATTAAGTTGGCCAAGATTTTTTTTTGGTGGGAGGGATGGAGAACAGTGGGGAGACCTTAACCACTAAGAGGTGAAAGGCCATCCACTGTGGGGTCACCTTGTACTCGGGCGTGTTCCAGAGAGCAGCAGACTTGCTGAGTCCGCGTGTGATGAGGCTGGTGGTGGGCAACACGCAAGGAGAAGACAGGGTATAAAACCCAACCTTGAAATCCCAGTCTGCTTTGGGTTCCTGGTCAGGTTCTCTATCATTTGTTTGTTTGGGTAAAACTTAGGGTTTGTTTCAGCTTAAACAGAAGGCTCCTCATCATCTTTCTTGAGCTAATTCGAGGAGCCTTCAACAACGTCACCACTTAAAACTGAGAAGGCAAGACACTGACATTCAGTATTGGCAGGCTAGTACGTTACATAATAATAATATGGAAGGCATGGGTAGTGCTTGCGAGGCACTGTGCAAAGTGCTTGACATGTAATGATCACAGCCATTTATTGTTATTAGCATCTTAGACATGAGGAAACCGAGGAACAGGTACAGCAGCTTGCCAAAATCCCACCACTGGTAAATGGCAGAGCTAGGATTTGAACCCAGGCCATCTCATTCCAGAGCCTACACTCTTACGCATGATGCTATGCCACTTACACAACTTAAATAACAGGATCTACGAGAGTACAAACTTTCCACGGGGCCTCCCCACTGCTCATAGCACCTCTTTTCCAGCACCCGGCCATGGGAGAAGCCACATTCGTGATCTATAATAATCTCGGAATCTGAGCTCACCATTTTAGGACAATTGCTTCAAAATTTACCTGATGGCCGAATCCAACAGTGTATTTTAGTCCTCATCTTTGTATATTCATATTTTTATACCTGAATTCCATTTGTCACTCCTACAAGGTTGAAACTCTAGTTAACTCTTTGGCTAACGAAACACGCCTTTTCCTTCATTCTCCTCTCTCCTCAATGCTCGTTCCTCTGGAGTCTCCTTCATTGCTCTTGCATCCCCTCGTTAAGTGTCGAGGTTCCTTTTACCTGTGTCCCAGGTAGTCTCATCTATTGTCAAGGCTTTGCTGTCCACCTTTGGGCTCCCCACTTTATATTTCAAACGTTCCTCCTAAAGTTCAAAATCATCGTTCTGGCTATTGACCAGGGCTGTTGACTAGGGCTGTTGACCAGGGCTGTTGGATATTTCTACTCTTCATCTCAAATTCGGGTCCCCACAGGAACTCAGTCCCTCCTCTTCACTGCTGAGCCTTGCTCCCAAAGCTCATACTTCTCTTACAGTCCTGGTTTCCTTTCATGACATCACTGTCTAACCAATCACATGATCTGAAGCCCTGGGCCCATCCTGAATGCTTATTCCTCCCAATCTTCCCTTACTCGTATTCCTAACACACACACTTACTGGATCACCCAGTGCTTTCGATTTTACCTTCTAAACACCTCTGTAGCTTGTCTCCTTTTTCTATTTCCACCACAATGATGAAAGCCTTTGTCCTCTCTCATTTGTACTTTTGCAGCGACTGTTCATTGGCCTCTCCCAGCTCAGCTTCATCCTCCAAGCCCTTTGAGCAGGCGAACCCACCCACTCCCTGCTTATAAACCATCTCCATCTGTTTATCTTCAGGGACTGCACAGCCTGGCGTGTAAGTCAGTCTCTCCAGGACCAGACTCTTGGCTACATATCTAGTCTCCATCTAGCCCCTTCTCCAGTCATGCCCGCCCCATGAACTGGGATCCGGACTATCGCAGCTACAGTCTCTCACACCAACTGCGAGCTCCTGAGTGGGAGTACTCATCTTCCTTACTGATCTCCAGATATCTGAGTTCACTATACCTATACTGTTGGCCTTAGACATTTTTTAAAATATGGTTCCAGGCATTGTAAGACACTTTACAACAGTCGCTCATCCTTTTGGTAGCTCTACGGGGTTGCACGGCACTACTGCCTCCATCTAACATCTAACAGGCGAGGAAGCAGACTCACGCCGCTGAGGAGCCTGAAAGATCACTTATCGGGGTGTAGGAAGTGGCTGAGGTAAAAGCTGAAGCCAGGTCAGGGCGACTGCAAACACCATGCTGAGACCAACCCTGAAAGCCTCGCTGGTGACATCTAACACCAGGATCTCACCTTTGAGGGAACAACCAAGAAGCAACATCGTGGCTTTAGGCTCTCTCAGGTGCGGCCCACAGAAGGCACCAGGCCAGTCACTTAGGGAGGTGGCAAGTTCCATGCTTTCCACCCAACTTCCACCCCATCCCGGTGTCCTATGGATGGAAAAGCACGCCTTCTCTGCCCTAACACCAAATCTTTCACTCTCCTTGACCCCCAAAATGATGACCTTTGAGAAGGGAGTCTAATACTTTAAGCAGTCCATCCCCAAAGACGAGGAAGGTCTAGAAATGAGCCTGAACCCTGCCTCTGACTCAATGGTCTAGAAGACAGAACGCTCAAAGCTGGCCCTTCCTTGAGAAGGGAGAGCCCAAGCTCTGTGCACTTGAGTCTGATTTCGTTAAGCAGTTGATAGCACCCCACACATTAGTTTCTCCTTTCTAATGTCCACACACACACACACACACACACACACACTCAACTATAGCCAAGGGGAAAGTTGCTTCAATAATTATCCATTATGTAAATAAATATGTACCTTGTTTCCTTATTACTTTTGTAACATGATCCCAAAAGTTTCGGCCTAAGAACCCTGAATCAAATTCTAATTCTGTCTCTGCCAACAGCTGCCTGTGTGGCTTTGTGCAAATCCATTTCCATTTTCACATCTCTGTAAGCCAACAGAGTCTCGTAGTCGATCTACAAGCCGCCCCTGTGGGTGCTAACATTCCGAGACTATGCTTACTTTTCCAATGTCTTTCACTAGGTTAAGACTATTTATCCCAACTCAGGGGGAACTAACCTACATGATCATTTTCATAAATAGTTTTTTTTAAGATTTTATTTATTTATTTTTAGAGAGGGAAGGGAGGGAGAGAGAGAGAGAGAGAGAGAGAAACATCAATGTGTGGTTGCTGGGGGCCATGGGCTGCAACCCAGGTATGTGCCCTAATTGGGAATCGAACCTGCAATGCTTTGGTTCGCAGCCCGCGCTCAATCCACTGAGCGATGCCAGCCAGGGCTTCATAAATAGTTTTTAACATGATAGTCACGATGATGGGGTTGGAACTTAATTCCAAAAATATTTTAGAAAAAAAAAGGATCCGTATCAATGCATTTAAGTACATGCTAAAATATTCATGCCAGTCACATACATTCAGGGCAATGCCATCCAGACTGCCCCATAATAAAGGGACTATCGAAGATGACCCCATGTGCAATTGAAAATTGTCTCAAGGTCACACATGCACAAGTGTGAGAATGGCTCTTCGCCCTATTGAAATGATTATTGGAATGCCATCGGGTGCAGGAAGCAGCATAAACATAAAAATTCAGGGTAAGTACACAGGTAAGTGTCACTAGTAGAACTAAGTGACAAGGAAAACACCCGTTGTGTGTTGTCATAGCTGATACATGCGGACAGTAGGCGGTTGCTAGGCTGTCTGAAAGTTTTGTTTACGTCTGCTGAGCTGCTAACCGGGTGCCGCAGAGAGGAGCAAACGATCTATGACGTATTATTGCTGAATAAATGCCTGTTGGAGAAATACTATGTGCAAATACTATAAAAGGGAACATTAATCAAAAGTAAAGCATCTTTAAGACTGGTAAGCCTCATTTTCCACCTCCAAGATGAAACGGGAATTTCAGAAGGATTATTGAAGAGGTTCGTTTTCCATCTTAGTGCTGTTCAGTCACAGAAAACATGCCCACCAAAGTCCCATCAATGAGAGCAAGCAACGGGAGAAGGATTTCCACACCGACATACTACTGATTGCACAGGGCCCCCTGATCAAAAAAAGCAGTCAAGGGACACTGTTAAAGTAAGGAAAACCCTGGTCTGGCACACCTATTGGCTTCCTATTTTTAAGGGAGACAGGTCTATAAGGTAATACTAGTAGTCTTAGAGAAACCCCGTCTCTGGGAAAGTCCCAGAGAGGCGTAGGGGAGGGAGCTCTGAAGAGGTCCCGGCAGAGTGGGCATCCTCGGAGCTGCCTGCAACCACCACAGTCCGCACGGAAAGGCCAGTTCACAGCCCGGGGCTGCGACGTCTCCGCCTGGCAGCCGACTCACCTTCCCTCCTGGAGGTGGCCCGGGCGGCAGGCAGGAGCAGCGAGAGGCAGAGGCAGCAGCTGAGCCAGAGCGCAGGCATGGCCGGGCCGGGCCGACGCGCCTTCCGCCGCTGCAGGGGTCGCTGCCCGGCGCCTGGAGGCTGGTGGTTCTCACTCTGCGCTCCGCAGTGCCTTCCTGTTCCTCGATCAGGTGGTTTTATCGACTCTTCTACCTGACTCAGTCCTGACAGGAAGAGAGCCTGCGTTTCAGGGTGTGACTCACCTGTGAATAAGGAGGACCCAGCCCTCGGGAGGCAGACAAACAGCACACACCGAGCTGTAAAAGCGCTCACCCCAGCCGCGGGCTCCCCCCTCGCGCACACCTGGCCGGGCCTTGGGTGTGGCGCCGGGGCTGCGGCCCAGGGATCCTTCTGGAGGACTGTGCCAGAGGCCTCCTTCTCTCCCGGGGTGGTCCAGGGGCACAGAGGGAGCTAGCAACCCGCCCCTTCCTCAAACTGGGAGGTCCAGTTTCAAGTGCGCAAACTCAGAAATAAATCGGCAGCCCCGATCAGCTGTGATCTAAAAGGCATCCAGGAGAACAGGGCAGTCGGAGAGGGACCACAGGGTCCTCTTCTTCCTCCGGCCTAGGCTCAGCCTCTTTCGGACACACAGCAGTCGGACCCCTGCCCACCCACTCTGCTGACACCTCATCCTTTCCCTCACCATCAGGGGCCAGGACTAACGGCTCCTCTCCTGGGTCGCCATAACCTCCTGATCACCTGGACTACCAACTCATGAAATCCCCTGTGGACAGGTGGGCCCCTTACGAAGGCCAGATATCATTCTGTATCCCTAACAACAGGTACAGCTTCTAGCTCACAGTCGGTGCAAAACTGATGCTCTGTCGAATTGAATAAAAAAGAGGATACAGATGTATTACCCTTCTACATCTCAGGCCATATATTTCTCTGACCATTCTCTATGGACCCATCAGAAAATGTTTGTTGACACCAGCTGTGAGTGTCATCCAAGGCCACTGTGCTAGGTGACATGAGTGAAATCTAGAAAACTGAGCATCTGGGCACATCCAGCATCGTCCCTTCATGTCCCTGCATCCTCTGCTCCTTGTGTTTCCACCCGTCCGCAGTGTCCCACCGCCCAGGAGCACCGAAGAATAGAGGCTTCCAAAATGAATCTCAAGTTTTCTAGGCTAAAATTTTATTTTAGTGCAGACTACTCTTGTTTACTGTATCTCAAACGGTGGAACAGATATTTGCATCTATCATCATGTTTGGATAGCTAGCACATACATCATACCTACTATTTGTCGTCATTGTTGTAAGTCCTTTATCCGTAATGACCTTTAGTCTTCCAAACAATGTTATGAAATAGGTGTGCTATTAATTTCCCCTTTTTGCAGATGGTAAAACAGAGGCTTGGAAAGATCGAATCACGTGCCCAGAGCCACATGTGGCAAAGCCAAGGTTCCAAACCAGGCAATGTAGCTCCAGAGCCCATAAACCCTTCGTGAGGTCAGATTACAAAGCGCCAGGAAGGAGACAAATTGACAGTTTTGAATGAATTCAATAGGCAGTCAATGGTTACTTGTCTGCATTACAACCCAAGCAGGTTGTGGACTATGGGCCCACGTCAATAAAGCCTAGTCACAATGGACTCTGAACAAAGATTTCTGATTTTCCTAACATGTTAGCTCTGAAAGAATCCCCAGAGGCCACCTGGACCCGGGTTAGGAAATGGGCAGCAAGGCCCTGGGCACCAGGCCAGCCAGCAGCCTTTTATGAAAGAGGTACGTGCTGGTGTTTCTCAGTTCCTCCCTCTCCTCATTGCCTTATTCTGGGCCTCTTCACACAACTGAACACCTGTCTGGCTCAGGCTTGCAACCTTTGCTCTAGCTTAATCTCCTACTTTGCTCAGGGGCAATATCAACCCCCTTTGCCAATCTGGAAATTTTTCTCTAGGGCATGGCTAGAGTTGAGAGTACTTTCATGGTCAGGAGTCAAGACTCTGGAGCAGAATCCCAGGGCCAAATCCTGGCTTCATCTCTCATTAAGTCAGGTTGCTTAGCTTCCTGTGAGCCTCAGTCTCTTCATCTGTAAAATGGGGGCAATAATAGGACACTTCACCGGAAAAGCTGTTGGGAAAATTAAGTGAGTTAATGATCTATCTAGTGCTCAGAGTAGCACCAGGCATACAACATGCACTATGTCAATGAGCTATAATAATAATATTATTATCACTAAGCACCATCCGTTTTTCTTGTTATAATTACTAACAAATATCATAAGGGACAGACAGAAGTGTTTCCAAACTTCTGAGGAACTGTTGGTTTAATCCAGGTTTATGTCCTAATTACCCACATTCGCCTGAAAGTTGTTAATTAGTTTGTATTTTTGCTACGTATCTGGAAATGTTTTCACATTCCAGTTTGCCTGAGGAATGGCTTAAAATGTGTGCCTTTAGAACTTCCTTTTCAATATGGCCCTGTGGGATCTTCTGCTCAGGGGAACTATAAAGATCAGATGGATGTAATATATTCTCATGATTAACTTCAATTAACACATGCTTTTCAAAAAGGCAACACAAATCTGATTTGCTTTTCCATACGACCCAAATAAATCTTTGTTTTTCAAATCCAGACAAAAGTCAACTTGATGTACATGTAGAAAAGGTTAAGATGGTACATGTTATGTTATGTGTATTTTAACAACCATAAAAAAGCGTGGAAGAAAACACAACTTGATAGCGCTCACCAATAAGAAAGAGTGAATTACTGGTACACACAGGACATGGATGACTTCGACAACGCTGGGCGAAGTGAAGAGTGGCAGGCACAAGCAGATGCTGTAGGATTTCACTGGCATGAAATTCTGCAAGAGGTGAAGCTACCAGGAAAGAAACCGGTCAGCAGAGATCGGGGGCTGACGGCGGCGGGGTGTGAGGGCAAGTTGGGGGGAATGACAGAAAAATTCTGAAGGAGGACGGTGGTCAAAAGTAATCAAGGTGTGTACTTAAAACAGGCCAGTTCGATTGTGTGTAAGTTGTACGTTAATTTACATACAATTAATTAATATTAAAAACGAGGAAAAGCTCAAAAAAATCTACTTGATAATTAAGACGATACATTCATTCAAATGTGCAAACTCAAACCCAGGACCAGAAACAGTGCCTGCATAGGCTGTGATATGCTCAGCCCAGCACAGGGTGAGTCCAACCTTGAATTTCTCAGGAACTCAACCTTGATGAGCTCTCAGGAGCTTCCGGCACAAAGGCCATCTCCGGCCTCCGGGCAGAACTGCCACCCAAGAATTGCAGGGGGACCCCTCCTTCTGGAAACCTGTCTGTTTCGGCAATTTACAAAATGTAAGAGTTGCTTTTCTGAAAATGTTTGCTCAGGGGCATGGATTTCAAACCTGTCTAAATGTTGTTCTAGGAAGTCGGCACTCGGATCCTCCTCTTATCGTCCTCCAAGTTGTCTCATTCATCTAGAGCGTGAGCTCTGGTATCAGGGAGGGACAATGTCCTAGGCAGGAGTTCTCCAGTCCTGGGAGATGGATGGGGCATTTCCACTGGGCGGGGCAGGAAGGCCAAGGCCCTGGAAGTCCCCTCTGTCCATTGTTTCACTTGCAGCTCAGTCACCTCCCCGCCCCCACCCACCCTGGGACTTTCCTTTTTACAACGCTGTGTACCTCGCCTCACAGAACTGTCATCTCTGCACCCCAACCTCCCCAATAAAATTACAAGTGACATGTTGATCTTCACCTTGAGTTCCATTAACCTGGGTTTGCTTTCAGAAGGAATGTCTGGCATGTCACCCACTCTCAAACTCACTTGCGATAAAAACTGAAGCACTGGCTGGCTGTTCACATGCCAGCAGCAGACCCGATGCCCTGCCCTTAACCTCCCCAGATAGTGCTCATGACATCAGCTTCGCATAAAATCCTTAAATGCAAACTAAAGCAATCAGGGGGGAAAAAAAAACAACAACTCCCCATGTTCCTAATTGTAAAGGAAAATGCCCATAAATGGAAAGGCAGCGTTTCCTGGATCGACTGGGCGAGTTCTCTGAGGTTGGCCCGACTCCAGCAACAGCGTTCTCTGAAGTGAGCACCCAGCTCAAGTGGCAAGCTTCCATTTTCTGCAGAAATGTGTGTGGCGTTCGTCCGGCTGGTTCTCAGGGAGCTTGTAGAGGCCAGTCCCAAACTCAAGCAACGCCTTTGACTTTTGAAGGGGAGACAACCCTTTTTCTGAGGTGGGCTGGGGATACACCAGGGCCGGGCCCTGGTGGGAAATCACAGCTCTGCACAAACAACAACTTCATTTGCATCTATTTTGGTACAGTTATTACAGACGGAAATAGGCACATGAAGTCTTTGCTTACCGATACTGCAGATGGAGGCAGCCGGAGAGGAGAGGGCACATGCTTAGAAAAAAAGACAAAACAGAAAAAAACAACACAAGAGAATGGAAGTTTCCGAGAGCAGGAAGCTCAGTAGATTTAGGGGTGTGCCAGCTGTCATGTTCCTTTAGACTGGAATTCTGGCATCCACCCCTGTTTGAAATGTCCTGGATGACGCACTGCCCGTGGGTCTCTGGGTGCTCTAATACCTAGACCAGAGATACTCAGATTTGAACAAGAGGCCACCAGATTTGGAGGAGCCCACCGCACTGAAGATTCTTCCCTGGGCTTCCCTGCAGGGGCGGGGGGGAGGGGCAGTCAGGGCTGCACACGTGAGGAGGAGAGCTGGAAGTGAGAGGCGGCCACCCCTGGTTCAGCACTCCCCAGCCCTGCCGTTCAGAAGGCAGAAAGGAGTGTGGGCAACGATGTTTCTAAACGTGCTTCTTCATTTCACTCTGGAACTTTCCACCTTTCATAATTCACTTAAGAAGTCTGCAAAACTCTACAGCATTTGGAGTCTATTCCTCTGCCTTAAGATAAGAGACTCTGAATGCATTTTAAACATCTAGTCATAATTTTTACAACTACCGTGCTGACAGGGCTGCTGTAGGGAATGTTCTGGATGTGTCCAGCTCAGTGCTGGGCAGCGCAGGGGTTTTGGAGTTTGTTCCTCACCACCACCCTGGGAAGTAGCAGGTGTTGCTCTTATACTCATTTTGAGGTTACTTAGGCTTCCTCACAAATGCACGCCAACACCTCTGTATAGAGTTATTACTGAACTCTGCTATAGAAAAGAATTAAGCCTCACACTGGATACACACGGCCTT